GAAAAAGTAAAAGATATGAAAATAAGCAATATCATGGATGCAAAATTCCATTCCTGTTTGCGTGAGCACTTCTCCAAAAGTTTTGACTCAAGTAGGACTACCTTCCAAACAGATAAATACATGTGATACACCGATCATATCATAATGTACTCAGATGTATTTGGATATACTAATCTAATTACGTAAGTCATTGACGTATCGTCCTCGTCGTGCTGACTACGATAGCTATCTATTATATCGATATCCTGATTAAACCGTTACGTCAGCCGTATCACACGAATTTCCCGTCGATTCGTATCGCAATGCGATGTGCGTACACGGTGATAACAAGAAACAGGTAATTACTTAAGGTCCAGCAAAGTCTACTATATGTCCCACATAAAGATTTATGTATAACGCATTGTCATAAAGAAACTCGTACATAGAAAGATCATTTTGTTGAAGTATTTAAAAATTTAGCTAAATACAGAAAATAATTTTGAAAATAATTTTATTAAACTATCAAAATAATCGTGTAGGACAATCAAACTGATTTCTAAAATATAAAAATTTTTTCAGTGTAGCTCATTATGCTCAAGTTTCTTATATAATTATTTTGATTGCCCAATAAAATTATTTTCAATCTGTATAGAGCTAAGTTTTTAGATATTTCAGAAAAATTGGTGCATCTTATGAAACGTGGCTATAACTAAATGAAATACAATAAATTGACACGGGAATATGATACTTGCTACTTCTAGGATGCACTCAATAAAATATGATCACGCACAAATCTAGATTGAATTTTATAGTGGATCCTGATACATGTCTTCAGCAAAAGATAGAAGCGAATTAGAGCTTGAAGCGCAAATCTTCGATTCATCTTCGTTCATAATCAAGTTAATTCATTGCACCGTTATCAACCAACTAGTGCCGCGTCTAATCTCGTAGTCGTCATAACTAATGTAAACCGATCGTATGTCAAGGCAACACGACACGAGAAACTGCAGAGTGTACACCGATCCAGGTTTCCCGTATCGCTATTTTTATTTTAAATGTAACTTTTTAGCAAATAAGAGTATATATATATATATATATATATACATGTACATATACACACTTTAATACAAAACATAATTCAAATATACGCTATCCGCCCATCTCGTGACGTCTCCCTGCAGTTATACGGTAATTTCAAGTATGTTGTGACATTTTGTCGGGAGGAAATGCCGCTGGTGGCATAACAAATTGTAGGCTTAACCGCGGCGTTCGTCTAGTTCTCCGATACATCAGCGATGTCGGCGCTCTGGCCTTACGACGTGACACAGGCAAAAATACCGCAAGGACGAAAATATACGAGAATACGAGAGAGAGCACGAGGACGAAGAGGTCGTTATCTCAATTAAATTGACCGACGCAGATTAGCGATATGAATTCTACCGCGTTCTAAATTTAATGTCACCGCCTAGCCGCGCTACGATGCAGAGAATACGACTTTGTTAAAAAAAGGAAAAAAAAAGGACAGTTGTGTATTTATGGGCGCGACAATTTTTCAAACTGGAATTAAACGGCAAGCGAGACTATCGTGCAACGTCGCCAAGCATTGCATTCGCGTTCGCAGAGACGTGTCGGATCAACGTACAGCAGATTAATTTGGGTAATGGTCAGTGTCAACATTGCTTCGATCATTTTACATCGTGGATATACTAAATCTATGTAATATGAAAATGGAAGAGTGCGACAAAAAGATGGGACTTTAAATGATAAAAATAGAATGATAAATTTTTTTTTCATCGTCATCCGGTTCGTCGACGCTGAACTCGCTTACACATGTGCAAACGTTTAGGAGTTGTTGATGATGAATTTATTATGTTCGCCTAGTGCTATTCATTTATGGCTCGTTATTTCCTCAAGCGTAGTGACATGTTGCGATATGTGATGATTACCGACATTGCATGCAGCGCAATAAATTAATGGCTTTTAATTACTAATGGTTTTAAAGTAATATGAACGATATGCAGATGAAGATAATAGTAATAATTTTGATAAATAGTAATTTTATACGCATCATTATTTAACAGAGAAACTTTTTCCCGACATGCGAGCGACATGCAATTAAAAATGTATTTTTCATAAATAGACAAGCTCGCAAAAATAATCCACGTGTTCCTTTGTTGATGTGTTTCATGTTACAAAATAATACGCGCCGAATATGAAAGATATTAAAAAAAAGATGAAAAAAAAATCATTTTATCAGTAACGAGTTGTCTATACATATACGTCATATCTCAATAATATGTCAACGATAAACACACTGACTAATATAATTATTTCTTCTTTTTTCCAAACTGCACTATAAGTGGAATATAACACTGATAAGAGGCCATCAATTTTATCAGCACTTTAACAACGTACTATATGTAAAGTGATTGTAATATAACTCTCGCGTTTGCATCGACATTCCTTCATATCTTCAATATATCCGTTTTACTTGCACTTACTTGTGTCAATGTAACATTTGTGCCGTGCTAGAATTTTTCTCGAATATTAATATCTCAATTCACATGTAAATTCATATGAAATATAAAATCGATGTAAAAAAAAAGAAATGTATTCATAATCTAATAATTACGAATATAAACATGAAATGAATGGGAAGAGCGACAGAACGGGTATGGGAAAGGCGCGCGTGGAGCACGCACCAATTACCACCTTCAAGATACGGTTGAAATGCAGCAGCATGCGATGCTGCTATTATGACAAAAACCTTCGTTGTTAGTAAGACAAGATAATTATTCCGCCGAGCTCGGCTCTTCGATCATTTAGGCGTGGCAACACATGTTCTCAGTTCAGCGCTATGCACGGCGTATATGCAAGGTATACCTATATACAGCGTGTCAGGACACGTGGGTACGGAACCTCTCCGGCTTGCCAACGGCTATTCATTTTCGCAACCCTCACCTCCGCCGCCGTGAGGGAGGGATTCCTCCCTACACAAATTATTCGATACGCCTCGTGAGGCCAAAACGAGTTAACGACGCCTAACGACGACGCGTCGCACGCATCGTGATTTTAATGGCGAAAATTATTTACCAAGGGAGAACTGCCTTTAATACAACTTTGCAGTGCGAAATTAGCCCCGATCGTAATTTCTGCAAACGATGACACTCTGTCGCGGTTAGCCGGCGAGAAGTTGCTTCGTAATCGCGCCGACAATGTCTCGCCTCGCGCGATCGTTACATTACAGTAATAAGGAATACATTTGTCGAGCTATGTATTATGTGCATACGTATATACGTGTATATGTACAAGAGATTACACGTGAGAACTAATACATATGTGTTACTTGAATATGTTCGATCATTAACTACATTTTACTTTACAAACACTAACGAATTACACTTCGAAAATAACATCAAGAAAAAACGCAAATCAGCCTATTGTTAATATACAAAGATGAGAAAATACTGAATTATATCGAGAACACTATGAGCTTATATACATACATGTTAGATTTAAAGAAAAAAAATATGTTTTTTTCGTTTACTATTATGTTAAACTATAAAATCTATAAAAAAAGCTTTTACATTTATTATCAATTTAATATATATACGTGGCGTCAGAAATTATATTTAGAAGAAAAGAAACAGACGGAATCTATTACAAGCTAAATATAAATAATATCTCGGTCATATCAACCGTAACTTGTGCAAAAAAAGTATCATGTGTTTTTCGGCCTGATATTTCTGGTTTTCTGTTCGTTATAATCGCTTTAGTGTAAAATGGAGCAAAAATATCAAACAGAATAGAAATTCCGGTAAAAACGATTCACGAAAATTCGCTCCATGCGCCATTCCTTATTATTGTTTATGTGCTATGTATTAGTTTAACACAAGTTAGGAAGGAATGAAATACGGTGTGTTACAAGCGCAGCGACTGGATCATTTAATTATGCGCTCTTTGCTGATTCGATTAGTTTTGTTTTACAATCGGTACGATACGTTTGTAAACGATACAAATGTACAATAAATAATTCTAACTGTGATTGGAAGATCAGTTTCCCGTATTTTACTGAAATGTTAAATGTAAGAGGAATGGCACACGACATTCGAGATTCGTCTGTTTCATGGCTCACTTATTTATCAACAAGGTTACTTCTTTTCGCTTATCTCTTGGATAATTACAGATTTTTTGCTCAGTACAACTGTTAAATGATTTTTTTTTACAACGGTTCCTGATATAGCAAAATGAGCTCGAAGTGCAAGCGGGAATCATTGATATTAGTGAGGTGATCTCGGATAACAGCTGCAACTTATCTGTCTGCTTATGTTTGTGATCATTGACTTCGCTGCATCAATCTTATCGAATCACTCGCGTCAATCGACTAATTTTTCACGTATTCATACTGCTGACAATTTTTAGATCCTAATGCACATTCACTTGCGAATATCTTTCTGAATTTTCTGATATTTTATTTTCAACATACTCATACACATTTAACGTCAAAGTGGATATGCTCGCTTTAACAGAAAAGTTATGCATAATTTTGAACATGGAGTTGCTGCGAAAATAAATAACACATTATAAACGAATAACAATTAGGCAAATACATATCAATAATTCTTAAATGTTTACAATATATAAAAGAGTTCAGCGTGAATGAATCAAATATAATTTGATAAAAAAATTTATTATATTTTTATCATTTATGTTAGTCAGTGCAGTTAACTTCAACTTACTTTTCATTTTTTTTTCTAGTTCTACAAATTTAAAAAAAGAGTAAATTGAACCGAGATTTAAAGTTAATTTACAATGATGGAATTTACATTAAACATTAAAGACTTATTTTTAATTGCACTCTCTAATTTCTATGTCACATGGATGTGATCCACGGTGTAAAATGATCGAAGATATTAATATTTGCAGAAATTAATCTGCGGATTTTTCCTCGCAAGGAAATGGACATGCATGCATAGTTGCGAGATCTCTCCCGGAGAGTACGCAGGATCGAGAGCGCTCACCTGTAGATTTGGCGATCCTCGGAAAGAGAACTGTGACATGATGTGTCGGCCGCTCAGGGCCGTGATGGTCGGGCACCGCTACGCGATCATCGTTCCAGAAGTCCGCGGCATTCGCCGAGTGTGCCTCGCTCCCGGACGTAGTCACTTCGCGAATCGGTCACACTTTCGCTCTTTTTTTTCCTTTCTTTCCTTTTTCTCACTAGTGCGCCCGAGGTGAATGCTTACGCGGAGGCGTGAGAACCCTCTGTGTCGCGTGTCCAGCCACCCCGTAGCGGGGTGCTACTCGCGTCGACGGCACTCCCGTATGCCCGGTCGCGACTGGCCGTCCAGCTGCACTCGAACCGGTTGAAATCGGTAGCGGTCCGCTGCCGGCATATGCACTCGCACTGTCACACACGAAAACAAGTTGAAGGCGCGAGGGCGACCGAGAAATAGTCCTCGGTAGCGGTTCTGTTGGAACTTCTACGTGTCGTATCGTCGTTGCGGGAGCACTCGCGAAGCAGATTGCGAAAGAAAGTGCCACCGACCGACAGCCGGCGATATATAGTCGTATCGCGGACTGCACGCACTCCGATCACTCTTGCGTTAGTCGAAGAAAGAAACGAACAAGAGTCCTCTTGAAGAAGGAGTGTGAGATCTGTCTGGCACACGACGAACGAGTTGCGGTATAAAAAAAAAAAGGATTAAAGGGCACACAGCGCGCGACAGCGATGCGTAGCACTTGTCGTGGTAACGCGCGATGCGGTTAGTCGCGGACGGCTAGTTCACTCCGTTGATCCGATCGACGCGCCAGCTATGATCGGTCGCGACTATCCTCCGAATCGTCGTTTCTTTTCGACGGAATCCAGTCCTCCGCTTGGTGGATAGGAAGGCGGAGGTACATGGATCGCGGGCGCGAGCGAGACGGCTACGGTGAGGGAGAGCGAGAAGGGTAGATGGGATAGAGAGAGGAGGGAACGAGAACGAGCGAGCGTCAGAGGGACGGGATGGCAAGCTGAGCGAGAGGGGAGGGGGCGAGAGGGAGAGAGAGAGAAAGAGAGAGGTAGAGTGGTAGGTTGAGCGAGGGTGTCGGAGGGACACCGCTGAAAAAGGAGAGGAATGACGGAGGAGGACAGAGGGAAAGCGAGAGAGAAAGAGAGAGATGGAAATGAGTGAGAGGGAGAACAGCGGAGGATGATGTGAATCGCGCACACCGGCCGTCTCTTTTTATCCTCCGTGGTCCTTCTACGCAGCCGGTCGCCTCACGGCCTGCGCAATCACGCGCTTCGAACTCGCGAAAGAGTGGCTTGTGGTTCGTCTTCTTATTCTTCTTCTTCTTCTCGCTTATAGTGCCGATCACGGCTCCTTCGATCGTGGCGCTACCAGATCGCGCGCACCGCAAAAGCGCCAAGTACAAACTGACGGCGGCGCGTGTTTCCACCGCGTGCACGTCCGCTTGCTGCTGACAACACACAATAGTGACTAGGACCAGACACTATACTGTTGTTCTTGTTCCGTTTTACTATCTCCCTCCAGTTTTCTCTCTCTCTCTCTCTCTCTCTCTCTCTCTCTCCCTCTCTCTCTCTTTCTCTCACTTTGCTTCTATAAGGCTTCTCCTTTTTCCGTGTAATGATCAACGTAAGAATTCAACTGCGTTTGCTCGTTGTCTCGCTATTCACTTCCACGAAATTGTCAACAAAAGATGAATTCGCTTCACGTTCACCGAGCGCGATAAGCACTGATCGATCCGTCAGTGGATCCTATAGGATTACCCGATTTCGCGTATGTTTGCTCCTTGCTCGCGGTAGAACAAGCGTGGTCCGCGGTCTGTAAGTTGCCGCTGTACCCCACGTTCCGCGAGATGACGGTTGATCGCGGTGTCGTAGGAGGAGGCGACGGGTACAGTGCCGGTGGCGCTGGCGGTAACGATAGTATCACGCTAGTGGTGGTGGCCCGATGACGAGGAAACGCTCGAAACTCGCCGGTGAGTCTAGTGGTGGTGATAGTGATGGTGGTGGCAGTGGCAGAGTCGTCGCCGTGGTTCTTTTCCTTCCACGGAAAGGGGGACGATTTTTGCGAGATGGTTTGCCCTCGGCGAGACGGGTGGGAGGGTCCAGGTCGGTACGGCGCGCGGTGTGGTGGGGGTACGGGCACCACCTCTGCCGCCGATGCCACGCTCTCGCCTCCACCTCGTACCCGCGCGCGAATTCGTTCCGCGGGTAGCTCTCGTATTAGCACGCCGGGTGTCGTGCGTGGCTCTCTTCTCTTCTCGCACGGGTCGTCGGCATCCTACCTCGTCGATCGGGCACGGAGCCGGCGGTTAGCATCGGCAAACGCGACAATAAAATATGGTGAGTCGCCCGTGGGGCTCGGCTAACGCAGCTCCCTGCGTTTCCCTCCCTTCAGCCGTCCCTTGTCGAGTCAGTGCCGGTGGTCGCCTCGTTCATCTGTCCTTTTCTCTCCTTTCCTCTTTCCGTTTTTTGTCTCTCGCTCTTTCGCGCGATGGTCCGATAGTCCGCTCTCGCTCCCTCGTACCTCCTGATGCCCCACCGTAGGCGCTTTCTTCCCTCTTCGTTCTCGGCTTTCGTTCCCGTGTGGAGGGGATGGGTTGAATGAGACAGAGGGGGACGCGACCGGCCGAGATGCTGCCACGCTCCCGTATGGTGGGGCGAGAAGAGTGTGAGCGGTCGGTAGCGTTCGGAGGGGGTGAACGGAAGGTTGGCGGACGACAGGGGTTGGGGAGGAGGGGGGCACAGAGGCAGAAACTACACGACAATTTTAGTTCGATAGATCCCGAAGTTTAGCCTCGGCGGCGCTGCTTTACTTGCCGCTGACTTCTTCTCGGTAGTTTGTTCGTTGCCCTCTCTCCCGTTGCTGTCGACTGCTTCTTCCTCTCCTCCTCCTCGGACACGACCGCACACTCCGACTCATGTCTCCCACCATCCAAACCCGTCTTCTTTCTCTTTCTCTTTCTTTCCTTCTCCTTCCTCCGTGCGAGGACAAGATCGCCTCCGACTACTCCGTACCCCTTCCTGTTAGCCCGAAGTTAGCTCTGATGCCGTGCTACCTGCCACTCCTCCTTATTCTACGCACTACGCGACACTTGACTACACAAACTTCCGTTTCTCTCTTTCTGTCTTTACGCTCCTACATTCTATCCCTTTCTCTCGCCTCCTCTCTGTCTCTTCTTGCTCTTCGTGCCTCGATCTCTCTCATTTCTACCTACAATCTCGCTCGTTGATCCCGCTCCCACCTGCAGCGTCGTCCATCTCTCTCGCTCCTTTACATCGCGGAATGCACGATCGTCACTCCTGAGCGTATTACACGGACGGCGTTTACGCAGAGTACTATGTTCGTTCCGACAGTTTAACGCGACGATGTCGCGTGAACGTCCCGCCGTACGACCCAGCCGTCAATCATCTCGTCAGATTATTACACCGAGATTTTTTCGTAATTTCGTTTCACACTGTTCCTCCGCAGAATTTGGAATAATCGAACTAGCGAACGAATGAAACGTCTTTTTTTTTAATAATGGTCCAGTTGATCAATTCAGTTCGAATCATCCGATCAAAGCAACGCGAAAACGTGCACCTACGATATCCGAGTGGACACCAATGAAATAATCCCGATGATGCTGTCCAAAGACTTTGGCGAGAGTGTCGTGAGAATGCTTTGCGCAATTCTTTCAAGAGAACTTGCCTCCTCGTGCGTACTTGTTCGTGCCTTTCCGCCACGACCGCCAACGAAAGAGGCGGATAGGAGCAGTTGAAGGTAGTGGATTGCGAAAATATCCTATCGTCTACGTTGGTGGGGATATTTCGCGTGCGGAGAGGGAAAAAAAGGACTCGCCGATATTTTTCGCCCACTGATCGACGACGCGCGCACACGCTCTCGCGTACCTGCCGGCGGCAATATTTTTACAGAGAGCGCGTACGCACACATATGCATGCACACAAGGACGCACCCAGAGAGCGCGTCCCACGTGTATTTGTGCCACGGTGGTGGACGCAGGGGAGACAAGTACTGGAAAGAGAGAGAGAGAGAAAGAGAAAGAGAAAGAGTGAGAGGAGCGGGATAAATCGTGCCCCTTCCACACTTCTTTCGCCTCCCCTCTAACGTGCCACGGTGGGTGCGGAGCTCGGCTTTTTTCCCCTCCGTGGGCGCGGACTAACCTCGCCCCGCCTTCGTCTCCTTCGTTCTCGATCCCCCTCTACCCTTTCACGGATGGTGTTGTAGCGCGGCGACGAGAGTGACTACCGCTGAAACTCGTGACGCCGTCGCCTCTCTCTCGCCGACACCCCGCGACCGACGTGCACGGCACGCCAAGCTACCGCTTCGCGCTCTTGCTTGCCGTCGGAGCGACGGAGGAGCCTCATCGAGGGAGCGAGATCGCCCGTCGCTCGGAAGTGGAACGAAGAAGAGAACTAGCCAGCGGAAGGAGGAGGGGTACACACCGAGATGTGAAACATTAGTGTACCGTTTGTTAACACCGCGGTCTACACACAATCGCGCGCAAACTCTCCCTCTTCTCGCCCGTGTCCGGCCCCATCGCTCCCCCCCGTTGCTCTCCGCTTTCTTTAAGAGGGCGTTGCTGCTGGTACGTGCTAGCAAGGACAAGCGCATGTGAGCGCCTTCCTTCTTCGTGAGTTCATCGCGGAATGCTGGCACGTAGGAAGTATCTCTCTCTTTCTCTTTTTTTTTCTCCAAGTCGCAGCTCTTTCCTTTTTTTCGCGATGTCGTTTTCCTCTCCTCATTTCTTCTTACGCGTTTTAACTCCATCTTATCACCATCTTACTTACCTTCCGTCCGTCCTTACGGTACTGACTTTTCGCGAATGCCGAATTTGTCGTGCATAGAGAACGGGTCGACGTACTCCGTTTTGTACTGCAACTCCGAAAACTAAGCCGATTCGCGCATCGATATTAAATTTTCTGTGCGCGCATGTGTTTGAAAATCCACTTTGATTTGGCTCTTGGAACGATTTGTGGCGACGGTAGAGAACTGCAAAGGATGACCATCTTTTATCGTAATATCACCAAGATATCGACACTAAATCGAGG